CGTGAGTTTAAGCAACCAGGTCCAGGACTCGAACTGCGGTCAACTACGTGGGAGTCCAGCAACATAGCCATTACGCTAACTGCTGGTCCTGAGGATTTTTTTTTTCTTAAGAGAGATTTTTGGTATAGGGCATGTGTGCTTGCCAGAGATAGAAAGAAACAAGACAGAAAATGAGAAATCACCCTCGGGGGCGGGGGATGGTCATGGCGCAATCCCTTCTCCTCCATTCTCCTTTCATGATTTTGTGTACACACGCACACATGCTCGGCGTGAGTTTTAAGCCTCTGGGTCTGGTACTCGAACCAGGGTTAACTATGTGGAGTCCAGTGACATAGCATTACGCCATCTTCTGGTCCCTCCACCATCTGCTGGTTCTTCTGCCATCTGCTGGTCTCTCTGCCATCTGCTGGTTCCTTCCTAGAGCAATTTAAACAGCCAAAATACACTCCCCTCCCCAGATGAGAAGACTTATCTAAGTACGGGAACCAGCAGTTAGCGTAATGGCTATGTTGCTGGACTCCCACGTAGTCGACCACGGTTCAAGTCCCAGACCCGGTGGCTTAAAACTCACGCCGGGCGCATGTGCGTACGTGCCCAAGATCCCGAGAGAATGGAGAAGGGATTGCGGCGTGACCATCCCCCCTGGGGGGTGATTTCTCGCTTTCTATGTCTCTCTCTGTCTGGCGAGCGCACACGCCCTATAGCAAAAAACCTCCCTCCCCCCCAAAAAAAGACTTATCTAAGGGGAAGCACAGACTCATTGATCCAATATGAGGCCCATGAGGAAGCCATGGCACATGGCCCCCAAACATAATGTGGATAAGGCAGATGAAGTCTCCCTGGTGCCCCCAAATAAGTCAAGTTAATCTCTCTCTTTTTTTTTAAGAGAAATTTTTGTTGTGGGGTGCATGCACTTGCCAGAGAGATGGAGACAATGAGAGGCAAAGAGAAATCATTCCCCAGGGGAGATGGCCATACCACACCTTCTCCTCGGGCATGTACGCATTATGGGCCCAGTGTGAGTTTCAAGCTGCCAGGTCCGGGATTTGAAAGTCAGTCATGTGGTAGTCCAGCACCTTAACCACTATGCCACCTGCAGGCCCCACTCTCTCTCTAATTTGCCAGAGGGCACGTATTATTGCTAGAGAGAGAGAGATGAAGAGACACGAGAAAGCACTCTGGGGGGGATGGTCACACTGCAATTCTTTCTCCTCCATTTCTCCTTTTGGGATTTTCGGCATGTATGCACACACACCCAGCAAGTTTCTCAAGCTACTAAGTTTGGGACCCAAACCATGTAGTCAGCCATGTGGGATCCAGTTGCCTCACTCACCACACCACCAGTTGGCCCGACTTACCTAGATTTCTTCCAGGTCCAAAGAACAGGTCAGAGGGTCAGGCCCCCTCGCTTGGGTGTTGGTGTATTCGTTTAGGATGTGCTTATCTGGACCCCGGCTTGCTGTGGTGCATTATTCTCTATAGACAGGGATGTGGTGGAGGCACTTGGGCTATTTCTGATTTCCCTATTGTGTCTCTAGTCAGTGACCCTGACCTTTCAGGTGAGCGTATGTGGGGGGAGGGAGGCTTATGTTTGCCAGCTTAGCTTATCCTTTTTTTTTTTCTTGAGAGGTTTTTGCTATAGGGCACTTATGCTCGCCAGAAAGACAGAAAGAGACAGAGATAGAAAGCAGCAAATCACTCCCCGGGGGAGATGGCCACACTGCTCTCCTTTCTCCTCCATTCTCCTCTTGAGATTTTGGCGTGAGTTTAAACCACCGGGTCTGGGACTTGAACTGCATTTAACTACATGGGAATCCAGTGACATAACCACTACACCAGCTGCTGGTCCCCCTCAACTGGTTTTTGACAGCTTGAGATTCTCAAGAACCAAGGCCTGGTGGAGTGGAGGCCAGCGAGTTTTAAATGAGTCACCTGGCCTTTCCATCATCTTTCATCTAGTGACCTGAGGCAAATCACTAGTCTCTGCAAGGGCCCCCTGATTTGCAAAATGGTGGCCCATCCTTCTACTTGAGCACCTATTGTCATGCTAGTAAGTTCCTCAGGGCTACATCCTTATCTCCGCCTCCGCCCTCCCCCACCACCACCCTGACCCGCCAATCCTGGGTGACGCCCTTGAAGGCCTATTTTGAAAACACTTTTGGGCAGCTTTATTAGATTATCTTAGAACTGCAGGGACCCTGCCCTCCAATCTCCAGCTAAAGGCTCGGTCTCCAGCCTGGGGGACCCAGTGCTTCCCAGACCCAAGTTTCCTCTCTGGGGACAAATGGGTACTTTTCCTGGAGTTGCACTCCTAGTCCCTCTTCTTTGGTGTTTCCAAGGACCTCTGAAGAGTGTTTGTTTCCCACCCTGAGTTCAGCTCAGGACTGGCTAATATAGACCTTAAAAACACCCGACCCAAGGCCTGAATCAAAGGGGCTGGGCAGGACGGATGGAGCTGCGCTCATCTTCCCTTGCCCTTAGCTAACAACCACAGGTTCTCCAGAGCCCTGCCTCCCTCTTGCTGAGCCCAGCAGGGTTGTAGCGAAAGCCAGGACAAACCGGTCGGCTAGCTGGTCTTTGTCGAGGCCCCAGTATCAGGTGCCCAGAGCCCCTTTGTGGACACATCTGGGTGCACCCCAGAGCGCTCAGTTGACACCTTAGACATTTTAACCTTGCCCTGCCCTTTGCAGCCTCTACTCAGCAGGTCATTCCTACCCAGCCTCCGGACTCGCACCCATTCACAGGAATAAACCGGAAAAAAAAATCTTTATTGAACGCACCTAGGTTTGGGATCGGGACAGGCGGGTTAAGGCAGAGGGAGGCTCCGTTTCAGAGCGCGACTGACAGTAGGCCGGGTTTCACTCGCGAGGATCCCCTAGGACACCCCGTTCGGCGGCCGCACTGCCCAAAATGAAGCCCACCGCCAGGGACACGGTCTGATCGAATGAGCCACGCAGCTGCTCCACGTGCTGGTTCAGGGTCAGCAGCTGGTCGCGCAGCGGACCCAGTATGGACACGATGTCGCCCAGGTGCCCCAGGGTCTGCAGCAGGGCGGCGTTCAGCGTCGAAGGCGCAGCTTGCGGAGGTGCACGGTCTTCCGCGCGGCGGGGCGGCGAGGACGGGTCTTCCTGGACTGGGTCGCGGGCAGGTGATGCCGCAGAGCCTAGGGCGCGGGAGGGAGCGTGGTCCTCGGGGCGGCCGGGCTCGGGAGGAAAGGTGGAGAGGGACGTCGGGGTAGGGGCTCGCGGGGAGCCGGGTACACGGGAGGCATCCGCAGACTTTGGTGGGGACGGGCTGAATCTGAGCGTCCAGGCGGGGTCTGCTTCGGGGTCGCGAGCGGTGGGCAACGGCGTGGAGTCTGGGAATGGGGGCGGGGTGGGGCACGGTCTGGTTGAGCACTTCGGCGGCGCGCCTGCCCCTCCCCCACT